ATTTCATTGTAATATTTTGCTTTGTCATCCCGTGCTGCCTTTTGAAATCTTCTATTCAACTCTTTAGTATCTTGAATTCTTCCCTGTGCTTTGGCTTCTTTGCGCTAAGTCTATATAAAATTCACCTTGTTGTTATGTGTGGTCGAATTAGTGTTTCATACTTTAAATATGTAATATCCATTGTACTTAGATATTATGCTTATAGATGTGGAAGTATAGAGACAAAGTAATTAGTACTGCACATCCCAAGCTTCCAAGTTTAGTCTTCCTCAAGGTTTCACGGTAGATGTCTGTGGTATCTACTTCCACCCCTTTTTATGAAACATTGATCACAGAAGTGCTGTGCATAGAACTTAAGCACTCTTCCCTGTAATCTTTTTCTGAAGTTACTTATCACTGCTTAATGTTCTGGAAACACAGAAGTATGAAGCACTTTATCTGGTATAATGTTGTCAAATAACTTGATGGAAAATGAGCAGCTATGAAATGTAACTGCTTCTGGAATGAAAAAGAAACTAACCAAAACACCTCCCAGCATTTGAAAATTAAAAATTAGAAACTTTTTATTTTTAATTATTTCATATTTCTAAAAGTTCTAAAAATTGTTAAAAGGAGCCTTATAGATAACTTTATCTAGTTTCTCCAAATGTTGTTGTTGTTGTTGTTGATTTCCAAGCCCCTCTTTAACTATTGACATTTATCAAAGTTCATAGAGTTTCTGGAGCCATGTTGTTTAGGAAGTGGATGCCACTTATATTTCCTGAAAATAATCATCATAGCTAGGATATGAATATTGCTACATACTATTTAATAATCTATAAACTTTATTCAGTCTTTTCAGAGTTCCACAGCTATCTGTTTTTTCTGATCTAGGATTCAACCCAGAACCACACATTATATTTACCTTTCTTATGTCTTTAGTCTCTTTCTAAATCTAGATCATTCCATGGTTTTTGCATGATCTTGACACTTTTGAAATTTATTGGCAAAATATTTTTAATAATGTCCCTCATTTTGTGTTTTCTTGGTATTTCTTAGTGAATAAATTCAAGTTATTTCTTTTTGGTCCTAGCAGGGATTTTTGATGCCTCTGTGTATCTGCTTCCAGGTTTTTTGTATTTTTGAAAGTGTGAATGGAAAGCATGGGTAAAGGAGAAGGGAAAGGGGGGAAAAACCCATCTCCAATGTTCTGCATAGAATCTTGACATTTAAATACAGCACATTAGCTTTAATATCTTGGATTCATTTATTATGTTCTAATTACAAAAAAGTAGCATTGACTGGGTCACTAGAACAGGCTGTTCAAACAAGATATTTTTTCTAGAATTTCAAGATTGCTGTTGTTAGGTGCTGTTGAGTCAAGTATGACTCATAGCGACCCTGTAACAGTCGACCTGAACCTTACCCAATTCTGTACCGTCTTTAACATCTCTGACATACCCTGTGTCAGTTCATCTTTTCTTTCTGTTGCTGACCCTCCATCTTTCCAAACATGATATCCCTTTCTGAGGAATAGCCTCGCCTAGCTATCTCCGTGTCCAAAATATGAAAAATGAAGCCTCGTCATCTTTGCCTCCAAGGAGCACTCTGGCTGCAATTTTCCCCAAGACATATCTGTTTGTTCTGTAGTAGTCCACGGGATACTTATGATAGTTTTGGGCTTATTAGGAGAGTTATAGCAGAGTGGTTAACTGTAAACCATAATATAGATGTATAGGGCAAAGCAGTCATGGAAGGACTAGGAAAAGTCCTTTATAGTGCTTCCATGACTACTTTTTCAGGATCTTTTGTTCATAGGGTCGCTATGAGATGTGCTCTACAGCCACCTAACAACAGTCCTTCCATTAGATGATGTTTATTAGATAAAACTTGTTTGGTAAAGTTTTAGGTACTAATTATTGTCAAGCACACAGATTCTGTTGCTTACTAATTCTTCACATTTTTCCGGTTTAGCAAATATCTGTGAAGCTGTCAGTAAACTCAAAGAAAGCTACATTCCTGCAGAAGAACTTCGATGCATTCTGTCTTCTACAGGAATCACTTTATCAGATAATGAATTCCAGAAGATTGTGAGAGACACTACTAGAAATGGTGTGTGACACAGAATAACAAACTTTTTGAGAAAGCTAGCTATTTTTACGGGGTAATATTAAATATTAGTTTTAAGTTCTGTCAGCGTGGAGAGAGAAAAAGAAGCCATTTTTAAAAAAATTATATTGTACTCTAAGTGAAAATTTGCAGAGAAACTGAGTTTTCCATTTGAAAGTTTGTACATAAAATTTTCTTTGACATTGATTGCATTCCATAATGTCTCCGTACTCTCCTCTTTTCTGCCCTGAGTTCCCTATTTCTTTTCTTCTACCCCTTCCTGCCGTCTCTTTTTTTCCTCTTGGACAAATGCTGTCCTTATGATCTCACGTAATTGTTCTAAGGAGAACTCAAATTCAAGTTACTTATTTTTGGTCACATTACTATAGAAAGCATATTGTAGTTCTATTATTTGATGTTAACATGGTCACCGGGAATAACTTCAGTGCTAGTTCAGAAGTCTGTTTTAGCGCTATAGTGTCAGGGGTTTCTCCAGTAAGACTGATGTCTTCTGTGAAGTTGACATTTTTGTTCTGTGTTATTCTCCCCATCTCTCTGAGACCTTCTTTTGTGATCCCAGAAAGGGCCATCCCAAAGGAAGTACAGAAGTAGAAAGTAATAAAAAGCCTAACCTAATAGAGTTGTTGTGAGAGATTGTTATTAGGTGCCTTAAAGTCAATGCCATGTCATAGCAACCGTGTCTACAAGAGAAAAATAACCTGCCCAAACCTACACATTACACATATCAGGCTTGAGTGCCTTCTAGGGTGGGGCAGACCCTGGGGAAGGCCAGTCAATCTGTAAAGAGATTCAGAGAGTAAAGCCACATATTCGAGATGTATAAAAATCTTTAAGCATATAGTCTAGGAATCCAAGAAGAAAGAATTCCAAAATATAGTGAAATTTAGGACTGACTAGTGATGCTTAAATAATACAGGTGACACTGAACACCTAGATGTTTAATGACATCACACACACACAAAAGACATAGCACAGTCACAGTGCTAAATTTAAGGGAGAGTTTACATTTAGACAACTTGTTTTATTAGTAACTAAGGATTCTCCACAGCAGATAGTCATCTGAGGAAAGGGAATGGGGAAAACTTTTGGAGAGACTGACTTTGGTCAATGTTAAAAGTAAATTCTCAGAATCTGAGCGCAGTTTCTTAGCTAAGGTAAATAGGAAAGATTTGTTGGTTAAAAGAATTATCGAAATAATGAGTGCAACTGTAACTACTGAGAGCTTTCCAGAGTTGTGATCACTGTAGAG